TGGTTCATTGATTACTAATAATATGTAGCTCCCATCTTAGAATGAGAATCAGCTTTATTGATCCAAGATTGTGTTGGACAAGTACTTTGGTACAGACATTAAGTTTATATAAACTTTACCGAGAATAAAGCAAAAGATTAGGGCTGCAACTGTGTTTTAATTTAGTAAGAGGTTAACCTGTTGATTTTTTTCTGATGTTTAATCAATTAACTTGATAAAAAAATTAATTATTTCATTGTTTTTCATTTGAAATACAAGAAAGTAGAGCCTTGAACTCAGCATTTGTAGTATTTCTGTATTTTATGCCATGCCCTTAAAGTTTTTTGTTGCCTGGAAAATTACTAATTTCAAAAACTTTCCAGATTATAATGTCACAAACCAGCACTGCCCCTCACCTAGTGACGCCTGGGAAGCCTATCCGTTACCTAGCAACCCTAGCAAAGCCCAGCCCGTTTCCTAGCAACCTAAACTGAACTCCTGGACTTTTGGTCTGCTGGTTTTGGGACTAATTTGTTCATTTTTAAATAAAAAAAATGGTGCTGTCAGGTTTTGCATATTTAAATTATTTTTGACACAGCTTTATTTGAACTGGGTTATTTTTATTTTTTATATTTTCAATGTTTTTTTGTTTGAAATGAGAAAAAATCGGAACCTTGCACTTAGAATTCATAGTATTTCTTTATGTTGTTATGCCAGACCCTTACCATACCATTCATCTTTATTTCTCAGGTTTATTTTTTTCATTTTTATATACCTAATAAGTAAAGCTTGTGAATTAACCTCTAAAGGCAAAAAAAAAAAAACAACTACTAGGACTTTCAAACTAAAAGTTAAACAAGATTACAGATCGTGAAGAGTCGTTATAGAGGCAGGGATTTGTTTTTCCTTTTAGCGAATAATCGTGTTTTCCTAAAAAGGACTCTGGCAAGTTTTTATCTGTGTATTGAGATGGAAACAGAACATTTCTTCTTCCTTTGAGACCGAGTTACGAGACCAGAATAAGAATTTTTCAGCCGCTATCAGCGGATGACAAAAATTGCACCCTCAGGACAGCAGATATCAAGTAATGAATCATGCTTCTCAGAGCAAACCAAGGTAGAGACACACTAGAATAAACCTAATCTTTCAAATTAAATCATTCTAATTAGGCCAGGGAATTATCATCGTAGCTGCAGATATCATGTTATCAGAATTGTAGGAGAGGAAATCAAAAACGAGAAAACAGAAAGGAGGCCAACCCGAAAATATGAGCTTTTGGTTCAGATATATGAACAACATGCACTGATCAGCTTTCTGCCGCATTACGGTTCAGGGAGGTTTCCTGTGTTATCAGGCATGAAGGCATCATTTAAAACGCTAAGTTGTGATTTTTTTCCCAGTATTCTGTAAAGAAACATTATGCGAGGTGTGTCACATTTGCAGTGTCCTCATGATCTTTTTCTCTTGGCTGGATCATTGAGACTTGCGCTGAACACAACCTGCCCCGCAGCAATATATGTTCACAGTTTCGAATTAAATCATCTGTAAAACGCCGCGTCCTTTCACTGATTCGTTTCCTGATGACATCCCTGAAAATGATATTAACACTGAAACAGCATATCAACGTCAACAGGCAGAAGCACTGAAAGCTGCTCTGTTGATGCTGGAATGTGCAGCTAGGCTCAAAAAGGCTTAAATATAACAGAAAACTCAATGCTTGATCAAATATTACTTCTCTGGCCAGAATTCAGTATCACTTAATCTATTAAACATTTGATTCAGAATTTTCTCTGTAAAATGAACTCCAAATGAATGAATCTTGACACAGCTTCTTGGCTGACAAAACCTATTTTTGTCTAAACCTGTTGAGCTCTTGGTTGTGCATCAAAGACAGCTTTATAGATTCAAGAAACCATGCCGTAGGCTTTGCATTGTGTAACCATGGCAGCCAAGTGTTGAATTATTTACGCAGAGTGGGTTTTATGTATGTTCTTCAGGACATTATTTCGCCTGATCAGATAGAGATCTGGGTATTTAAAGGCTAGACGGGGAACGATTCAGGCTTTTTATGGGATTTGAGCCATCTGGTGTGGAAACATGTTGCCTGGGAATACCAGCTAACCCTTGAAACTGAGATATTTTTGTATTGTTTTGGAAACGTGAGGGAAATTATTTCACTGCACATCAAATAACATGTAGCTTGAGCAGTTTCTAGAACAGTAAATAAATTACTGCAGTTCTGGTTTCCCTGCTTGATCACACCCGACTTCCTGGAACGGGTCATTAGCTTCCTCCTGCAGAACTTGGTGACAAGCAGAGGAGATAATTAAAGTATCTGAGGCAGGTGTGTTGGAGCAGGGACACATCTAAAACATACAGGATCTCAAGAACTCAAGTTGCTCACCTCTGTAAACGGCGAATGGTTTGTACTGGAAGTAGAGCTTAGATTGAAATGGGAATTTGCATATTTATAGCCGGTATATAAAAGTGAATTGCTTATGGTGTGCAGAGATGAGCTGTTGTACAAAGAAATTGTGAATAATTAGGAATGAATACATGAATAAATTGAAAGGAAGGAGGTATATCTCTAAGTCACAGTGGCTCTGGATTAAAATGATAAAGAATTAACTAACATTTTAAGTATAAATTTAATAAGTTATATAAGTTATAAGTTATATAATAAGTTTAAGCTGTTTTTCTCATGTGATAAATTGATATTCCAGGACAGAACGACTCTAAAAATACCAGTGACATTGTTTTGGGTCTATTTATTTTTTGTCAATAAGTTGTTACATTTTAAACATTTTTCCATAAATTTCACAATCTCACAGAAGGGAGTATCTTATTTACTGCAAAAGTCTCATGTTTTTCTTTATTTTAAAACCTAAAAATAAAAATAAATTGGTGTGAACAAAGTTTCTTAGGTACAAAAAAATTTGACTTTTTTTCTAAAGATCATATAACAAGTTTTATTTTGCTGCATTGAAAGCAAATATGGCTCTTAGTTAATGTTGGGCGAAATGGACTTAGAATTTTACTGCGATATTTTGTGGTAGTTTTGTGATAATAAAAATTATGATTAAAAAATATTTTTTCTACTATTTTAGGTAAATGACTTACTGCATAGCATTATTAGCACCACAAACACAAATATTGTTCTTGGAAAAACAGTAAATGCATTTCTGAATTTACTTATATTTATAGAAGAAAATAGTAAAACTAAGACTTCCTATAATGCTGTCATTTTTTTCTCCCAATTTAACATCATTCACTGAAATTCATCAAGACAACAACAAATCAAAATTCTTATCACAATGTGAAATTTTTCACAATAAATGATAAACGATATGATAAAATGCCCACGCCTACTTTTAGATTTGTAGGCTAAATGACATCAGTGTGAAAATCTGTTAAATATTATTTAATCTCAGGAAGTGCAAATCGAATGCAGAGGTACTATAACAGCTTGTTAATGTGTAGTTTCTGCCATAATTGTCCATTTGAGGACATTTATGATCTTGATGTGGCTCAAAATGAAAATGAGTTTAACATTCCTACTCTCAGATGTCCAATCTGCCTGAATGTTCTCCAGCATCTTTACTTTTTCTTAGTTATGCAAAAATGTCTCTGCATAAGATAAATGGTGATGAGCCAATCTGCAAGCATTAATGTTGCAGCAATTTGTGTTATGAATCACTTTGCTTTGGTCGTCTGTTTAGGCATTGCAGATTGGACAGGAGTAGCCAGGTGTGTTGCATTATTTCATAATTATGAACTGAATATTCTGCGTGTCACATAACCAGCAGCAGGATGCCTCGGCAGCATCTAACTCGTCTTATGTGTGCAATCTGCAAATAACCTCAAAACACAGAATCACTTAAAATAGACATCTGTTAATTTATTGGGAAAGCACTTTGTTGCATATTTTCCGAAGTTAACGCAAACCTTTTCATTGTGGATGATGCAAGTAAGCTGCAATTCAAAGGAGACTTTTTCACCCTCAGTCTCAACAGACTGGTCACAAGTCGAGTGACCTGTGACCAATCAGAGGCTTCGTTCTTCAGCTCTGCAAAAATGGCTTGAAATTGCCAAAAGAAAAAGAAAAACCAATGCATCGCTAGAATATGTAAAGAGGAAATGTTTACAAGACTGGCAGTAGGAGCTGTGTTTATTCACAGAGGAACTCTTTACATCAAATAACAAACAGCAAAAAGCAAACAAATCCTTAGAAAGGCAAGAGGAGATGGGGAGCAGGAGGAAGGTTTACTGCCAGCAAGACATCTGAGACAGTGATGCTGCACGTTGAGCAAACTATTGTTGTTGTTTTTTTATATAAAATGGCTCCCCAAGTCTTAAAGTGTTTATGTAGCTGGAAGTGCCATTTTCATCTGTCCAGCCTTCAAACTGTTCAGGAAGCTGACGGGTTCTGCGCCTAAAGGATGAATATGTTTTGATACAAGATGTGCGTCAAAACCACAGCAAACTTTGTGAATATTCTGGCTGAAGCTGGAAAGAGAGTAGAGGAGGGCATTATCATATCGTTTATCATTTATCGCGATGATTTTCGTGGTATGATAAAAATTCTGATTTGTCATCACTGTAAATGTTTAAAACCCCTCAACACTGTCTGTATTGTCCGGATTGTTAGCTTTACTACTTATATCTTGTTCAATTAAAGTATCTAAAAGTACTATTATGCAAAATTCACATTTTCAAATTCAAATAAAAATAAATACCTTAATTAATCCCAACAGGAAATTAAATTAATTAATAATTTTGCATGTTTTTTTACTAACATTTAGGATTCAGCTGCTTCTGAAAACAATCTGATCACCCAGCCTGTTTTAGGCAATAAGCTACAGTTTTCTGGTGTGTGAAAAACTAGTTGTTTCAAAAAACTCCGAAATGTAACTTTACGAATCAGCAGGCACCGGCCGTTACCTAGCAACCTCAGACAAAGCCCAGCCCGTTACCTAGCAACGATAGACTGATCTCCAGAATGTTTGGACTGCTGGTTTTACTTCTATGTTCTGTAAAATGGCTGCTGCGAAAAGATTTTCTGTTGTTGACTTGCCGTCCAGGAACCACTTGCTTCATTCTTGTTGGACGCTTTAGAGAATTATTGAAATGTTTTCATATCATTCTGTCAGGTCACTATGTGGAAACACTGGTATGCAAAACTTTTACGAGTTTTTATGTGGTGTTGTGTATCCTGTCTTTGTTCTTTCTTATGTCTAAGTGGATAATAAGTCTGCTCAATCAATCAATCAATCAATCAATCAATCAATCAATCAATCAATCAATCAATCAATCAATCAATCAATCAATCAATCAAGCTATTTCTGCTTTTCAGAGATGTATGGTTGTATGATTGTGCGTCCCTTTGCAGCCATTTTCACGTGCGAGTGTAAACGGTGAGTTAAGGGGCCAATAGCAGGTTATCTGGATTTAAAGTGACAGGAGACCCTAAACCGGCTCAAAATAGGTAGAACTGAGCAGACTGAAATCTCATTATCTAAGAATGATTTTGTACAAAATATGTTTTGTGTATCCCACAGACCAATTCTTACTCATTAAAGGAATATATCACCTTTATTTGAAAAATATAAGAAAATGCAGTTACTTTGTCCAGCTTAGTGATAAAAATCACACTTCTTTTTGTGACTGATGTCCTAATGAAGATAAAACAAATGGAAATGTTTCTCACTTCTCATGTTTTCATGTGTGCAATGTTTGAATACATTATAAAGAGGTTTACCTTTAACACTAATTGGTTCTCTAAATGGATAACAACACTAATCACACAGGGGAAGCATGTCATTGTTTTAATGCAGCTGTCATCAAGTAATGATCCTATTATTGAAAAAACTTTGTGTGTAAATGTGAAAAGTTTTTTGCAAGGAGCCTAAAAACCTGATTTGAACCAGTTCTGTCAGGAGGAATGGATCAAGACAGATTAAATTATTTCTGGTTGCATTTTTATGAGCACAATAGGATGAAAATGGTTATTAAAGAGTTTGTAGCCCTGAGTCTGACTTGCATCATATCAATGATTTTAAAAACAGTTTCAGTAAATTTTGACGTGTCACTGCTCATCACTATGCTCTGAGAAATGCATCATATTTTCTCTTATGATGGATTTCAAATGCATGACATGCAGAAATATTCAGTAAATTAGAATATGATTGAAAGGTTTCTTCATTGCAGATACATCATTTATTAAGTGAGGCACTTTAAATAAATAATTTACACACAGACGGACGTTTTCAAGCCTTTCTTTTGGCTAAATATGATGATTTTTCTCTTACATCGAATAAAAGAATAAAAACACAATTTAAAAATAGAATATTGCAATGAACATATTTCAGTAAACCCCTGTGAATCCACGTATAAAGTGCTTAAAATCAAATGAACAAAAGTTCTCCAACTTTAAAGAGCATTTCAAATGTTTACTTTTCATATTAATCATGAATATTTACTTTAGAAATGTTTAAATAATTTCAGGTTATTATTTTACCTAGTTTTTCAAAAACCTGCTGAAAGGTTATTTTCAAAAGATGTTTTTAATCTGAGAAACGGCATAACATAACACTTGTTAGAGAAAAGTCACAATGTTGTTCCTTATGAGAGTTAGTCAGATTATTTAGTGACGCTTTATTGGAAGGGTGTGCATAACACTGTCATAAAATGACCCAACATCTGTTATAAACATGAAGGAGTCTTTATAAATGTTCACAACACTTGTCATGAAGTGTCATTTGGTAAATAATAACTTTTTAAATAATAACTTTTAATGCAAAATTGCACTAAAACTTGAATTAAAAGTAAATTGAAAGTGTCACTATTTGATAAATAATGACACGGTGTACCTTTGGGTCAGTTTTCCAATCATTTTATTAAATTATGACCATTAAAATAATGACCATTTTAATACAAATTTGCACTAAAACCCTCATTAAAAGTGCATTAAATGAGTCAGCTTTGCATTTAAAGTGTCATTATTCACCAAATTACATCTCATGACGACAGTCATAAGCATTCATGAAGACTCTTCATGTTCAGTTGTCATGTTAGTTTTATGCACAGCCCTTCAAATAAAGTGTGACTGATTATTCTTCTTTGTGATTGTTCCTATTTATCAGAAATATTGGAAATCTGAATGGGATTCCTCGTTCTCGCGCTGCCTTATTCATCTCCTGGATTGAAAATGTAACACCTAAAATATGATATAGGGGAATTTTCTTTTTTATGGCTGTGTAGTTGGAAAGCAAGGAGCTGAAATTATTAATAGACCAGCAGAGTTAACACGTTTATTCTGGTGTGAGATTGAACTTTTATTCTAAATTGCACATTTCATGGAGAAGATTTTTTTGATAAAGCTTTTCGGATCCATTCTGTGGACGGTTTGAAGTCAGTTCACCAGAGAAATTAGCATATATGAAACAGTGAAATGAGGGCTGTAAGTGTGCTGACTTCTTCTGGCCCCTTCTCTGACACAACATAAAATAAATGCTAATGTTAGCACTAAAACCTGGCAAGCACAGGCTGTGTTTTGGTGGGGAAGGCTGGTTCAGGATGGAAATGACACAGATTTTTATTTCAGACGCATACAGCTTCCCTCCACATGATCAAAAATTGTTTACTGCAGTCGTATGATTACAAACGGAAAAGGCCAACCTGTAAGTTATATTGAGACACCAAAAAATTAATGTTCTGCAATATATAATTTAATATAAATTAATGTGCTGCACACTTACTTTTTATATATAAATTATATATATATATATATATATATATATATATATATATATATATATATATATATATATATATATATGAAAACAGTAGATAACACTTAATATACGAGTTATTGTTGAATAACTTTAATAATTGTACAACAGGGCTGCATGAAATTTGAAAGAAAATAAATAAATTTACCTTGAAGTCGCAGCAGCTGAATTTTCCCACTGTGGAACATTAAAGAATATTTTTATCTTGTTCTAATTTCCTTTTATGGATGTTTGGACCTTTGAGTCAGGTTAGCGATCATTTTATTTTATTATATCTGCTAATCTTTTAATGATTGTAAGGAAAAAAGATGAATTGAGTTTCAAAGAAAACATGGATTTTTTTTCTTACAGCGGCTGTGATGTATTTCACAACAGATCTGTGCAATAGTTTTACATGATATTTTGTTTTTAACTACAACAGCAGCATAAGTTGCACTGGTTTGTTTTTCATCAAGAAGCCGACTGAGCTGCCAGGTGATTAACATTTTCCAATGTTAATTTAAATTTCACTAGAACGGCCCATTCGTGTCAAGCTAGTGCTATTAGCTTGTAGCGTTAGCACAGTTAGCATGTTGCATCCATCGTCTGACTCAGAAAGTAGCTTGAACAACGTTTTGTGTTTGCTTTTTCAGCTAAAACAAAGTCGCAAATGTTCTTTTTCTGGCTTCTCTCGTCATGATTTTTATGTAAAATCTGCTTGTATCTGAAGCATGTTGTTCACAGAAATGGGACCACAGCACCACACATCCTCTACCGTACTTATCCATGTGTTTAAGGTGTTTATCGCTCCTAACCACTGCCAAAAAAATCAAAGCTGCTTATTCCAAGTAAGCTAACGCCGCATCTTTACCTTATTAGACAGAAAAGTCCTTTTGGATTGTGGATTTTTTCGCTGCAGATTTCTAACCATAGACTTTGAATATTTTAATTTAATATTATCCTTTTCACTTATCTATCCTCCTTCAAACACTTTTGTTGCAGCAGTAATTGATTAAAATTTATTTTTCCAGATAAATATACGGCTTGTTTGCCTGTCTTTCCCATTTTGCATAACGTTTAAAAGAAGATTGCCTGTCTTGTCCTACATTACAGAGACAGGAAGTCATGGACTGCTACTTGAAAGATCCTCAAAACCTTTCGTCAAGTAAATAAAAATGCTTGACTTGTTTATTGTATAGGTTACCAATAGTTGTGACACAGTTAAGTGCATTACAAATAAAAAAACATATTCTTTTTGTTCTTTACTCAATAAATGTACTGAATATTTAAGGTTTTTAACATCTTTACCAGTAATGATTCAAGAGTGCTCTGTTGGCATATAGAGTTAAGTTTACCAACATTTACAGATAAAATAAAGCTTACCTAAACTTTAATTTTACATTATCGGTCGGAGTCTGTAGTTAACTGGCTGAACATGATCTGGACATCATGTTTTCCCCCTTTTTTGCATTTAAATTTTGCAGCAACACAGAGGCGTAACAAAGGTCGTTGAACCGGTTTCCTGTTGTTGCAGGTACAAAGGCTGATCCCACTGAGAAACTTAATTACTATTCGGCTTTTATTTCATCAGACTGCAGCAAAAAGATATGAAAGATAGAGAGAGGAGAAGACTTAATTTCCCCAAGGCTGATATAATACCAGTGTCATTTATATTGAGCGCAGTCTGGGACTTTCAAACCAGAGAGACGTCTCAAAGACCAATTTGTTCATTTTTCAAAAATGACATTTTATTGAGGTTCAATATCTGCAACCTTGACTTTTAAATAAAAGATTTAGAGGTGTCATTGATGGTGGCTGCAGTTCGACTTTCCTCACTAATTAGGAACAAAGTGAAGCTAAAAGCTTGAACAGCAAGCAGCAGTGGGCTTCCCCGGTGCAATAAAGCTTGCCGTCTTTATTCCAAACAGATTAATTTCTTCGGTCAATGTCTGCTTTATCCTTGAGATGCGCTTGGTTTTAATTATGCTGCTGCGACACGACGGCGTCGGCTGCCTGTTCTGTGACGACCTTCAGATGTTTCTGAGGCTCAGGTGATAAAATGTGACGTGTTTCTGCATGTGAAGCGTAGATGGTTTCTGCAAACCTGCACGTTCTCCGTGACAGCTGGGATTTCTTTCGTTTCTTACCTCAGTGCTGACGTTTTACTGACATGTTTACCTCTGTCAAAGATCTTTTTGTCACACCAGTGATGGTTTACAGACAGGTTTCGGCGGAGTTTGAGAAGTCACAGATTCTCTCTGAAATGTTGGATTTGTAGTTCAGATTTAGTATTTTAAAATTAAATTGAAATTTTTTGATGATCAAAGTTCAGAATTTTACAGACTAACATTTCCAGAGATCCAAATTTAGCTGTTAATAGAAATAAAGATTTGAGTTGATG